ACACAGACGAATGCAGACGAGCCGACTTTCAGAACAAAACAGGAAATCTAGAACCCGAACCGGACACAAGGGGGGAGGACACAGAATAACTAGAACAGAGGGAATTAATCACCAAACAAAACGCTGGGTCAACGACCCAGGACCATGACACAGGCGGACAAAATGGTGGTGGCTAATCAACCAGACATGGTGGTGGTAGACGAAAAGAACCAGACGGCCATAGTGATCCATGTAGCGGTCCTGAATAACAGCAACATCAGGAAGAAGGAACACGAGAAGCTTGAGAAATACCAAGGGCTCAGAGAAGATCTCGAGAAAATACTACTAAAACGGTTTGAGTCTGAGGGAGTAGATTGGTTAAATATTCCTCTCTAAATTCTACTTTGTTGTGAGTTTGTGTTTTAAGAAAAATTAATTGGAGTATTAGCTGCAGTGACTCCCAAACTAGGCGGGTGGCTCCAGCAGATCCCAGGAACAACTTTGGAGCTCTCTGTCTTTGGAGCTCTGTTTATGTAAAATCCTAACAGAGTTAGGATTTTACATAAACATTGATCTTCAGATGTGAACTTACAAAGCAACATTTCTCTTTTTTGATGCATAGTACTGTTTTCAGTAGTTAGACTGGCTCATTTAACAATAATCAACACATCATTGTATTCCCTCGTGACCACGTCATGGATCAACAGTAACACCTCTTTTTTCCCTGTGGTTTTCCTCACAGATTGATGATGTGTCTCAGAGTTCAGCAGCTCAGCTTTACTGAAATGTTATGAAACTTAAAGAGAAAGTAAATCGAGGCAGAAGCTGATCATCGATCAGAGCTAACTGTCTGTGATTCTGCACTCAGTTCAAGTGGAGACAACAAGCTGAGTAAAAGTGCAACAGGTAAACACTGAGGATGGCACAGGTGACGATCAGAACAAAGAGCAGACAGGGAGACTTCTACCTGGACATGGATCACCTGCTGATGCTGATGCTGCAGCTGCTGCTGCTGCTGCGGAGCTCAGGTAGGACTCTGACACACACATGAAAAGTAAAAAGGTTCAGATCCTTCAGAAAATTTAGGACAGATTTTATTCTTTTCACAGTTATGTATCCTGATATTCCTGCAGTGTCACATGGGTTCAAATTCAGTGATGATAATTCAGACTCACTTTGCTTTTACTCATGACAAATGTAGGAGTGATGCAGGCTGTAATCCAGTTTTAAAGGAAACTGTTAAATACCCCAATTCTTTCATCTTTGGGCTGAAGGAAGAACAACACTCTGTGTTTAACGCTCAATCAACAATCACTTTAATCAATAAAATTCTCTTTATTCCATACAACACTTTGAGCATTACAAACGTCCGGACGGGAGATGTGCACAGGCAAATCTCAAAATGTCTGAGTTACCCACACTCTTATAGCTTCTCCCCCCTTCATACTAAGCATTCACATTTTTTCTCTCTCTCAGTGAGCCGAAGTTGTGACCTTGGCTTCCTGTGCAGTATGTTTCAGACAAATAAGACCATGATTCTCTGAAAACAACATTTCTTATAAATCAGCAGTATAATGCATCATAAAACAGTGTAATATCCCATTCCTGTTTTTTGTCAGAATAAACAATCAATTACAATCAAACAATCAATCAATTTGCTGGTCCCTCTCTAGTCTAAACAACGTTTCAGTAACTTTCCACTAGAAGATGGTCCCCTGTTATCTACTTTCTCCCAGGCAAGCATGAGCAAGAGTCTACAGCTCTCTACCCACCAAGGACACATAGTCTAACGCCTTTATTTTCAGGGCCCTGTCCACTTAATACTACATTATATGGTTATATGGCATTTTAGTTAATATAAAGCATAGAATTGAGGCACTTCAAATAATTCCATTCTGACAAAACTAATCTCATCTCTCTCTAAAGCCCACACTGAACAACCAGCTGAACACACCTAAAGGCTGTTTCCACCAGCTGGAATGAACTTTAGTCCACTGCAAAAAAAACTTATAGACTGCTCTGTAATGACTGCATCAGCTGCTTGTGAACAGAACAAAATCAAACAGGACAAACATTTGCTGTTATACTATTAGGAACATGTTCCTGAAAATGCTTGTCTTCTGAACTCTTTCATTTCACAGACTTTTAATTTTCCTGACCAATCAAATTATTTTTAGACAATCTTGTCCTGGTTTGGTATCAAATATGTTCCTTCACACAAATGAAGAGAATAAAAGTTGGTTTTGAAACAGGTTTTAGAAATGTCTAATTTTGGGGAGGTCATGACAGTTTAGGAGCAGCAACAGCAAAGGCCTGATTTCCTTTGTGGATCCTGGGACAGCTAGGAGCATTTGGTCCACAGACCTCGATGATCTTGAAAGAGTGTACAAAATCAACTGGTCAGAAAGGTACAACACACAAACTTCAAAGGAGGAGCAGTTTACAATGTTTTGTCTTGAAGCCACAAAAGAGACTGGTTTAACCCTCCTGCATACTGTGATTGTGACATGGATGGAACATTTCTAGTCTAACTTTATTCTTCACCATCTGCCTTACTCCCAGAAGTGACAGAAACCACTGGCCTGCTAAGATCTGTCCATATGTGTGGATGGTTATATAAAATCTCAGGATATGAAAATCAAAGAACAGAAACATCTTTGACCTCATGTACTGAGACTGTCTGCATTACAGTTCATATATTAGTTGTAGCAAATCATCATTAAAACGAACCATGAATTCTAAGTTGTCATTTCAAATTTTGAGTTAGATTTATATATAGACATATATATAGATTTATATCAGTTAGATATAACTGAATGAATTTTAGTATATCTATTGACTTTTTTCAACATCTGTAGTCCCAGAAATTTACTAAAATGTAACTGTCTCTACTGTCCTCATCTCACCTCCAATCAAATTCCATCTTCACACTTACAGTTTTTACTCTTTTTTTCTCTTCAGGAGTCCAGGTTGGGGGAAAACACAGTTCTACAGGTAAAAGGAGAAATCAGAGAGAAATTAAGGATCACACAACCAGAATCAGCACTAACATTAAATATTTCCAGAAGTAAATTCATTTTTTACTGACGACTCTCTCCTTTCTGTTAGAGCCTGGTGATGTCAGGCTGGTGGGAGGAGCCAGTCACTGTGCAGGAACACTGGAGGCAAAACATCTGGGAGAGTGGAGACCATTGTGTGCCTCTCATGATTCATGGACCCTGAAAGAAGCAGCTGTTTTCTGTGAATACCTAGACTGTGGCTCTGCTGTTCATGTAGAAGAAAGACATTCCTCATATAAATCTGCATGGTCTATCAGTTCTGATTGTGTTCTGTCCAGATCTCCTCTGAGGGAATGTACAACATCAGATTACACTGACCAAATCCTGAAACTCACCTGTGCAGGTACACTGGAGGCAAAGAGCCCCCCACTCTTGGGTGGTTGTGGCCGGCCAGGGCCTCTGGGGTCTTTTCCTGTCAGCCTCTGGCTCTTGGGTTCATTGTTGCAATGTCTTACGCTAATTTTGTAGTATGCTTCATGACAGAAACTCATATACAGCCACATTTCTCTTTCTCACTTTCTCTCTCTGTCACTCACTTGTACAGACAAACAAATAGCAACATTTTATCTTTATTTAGGTACTTTCCTTTGTCTTGTCTTTCAGCTGTTGTATATGGTTTTCCAGTGTTTTGTTACAGATGAAGACCCAACATGTTTTTTTTCCTGACTACTTAATGGAGTCAGCAGCACTCAGTTTACAGATTCCACAAGACAGGGGCAATACTACATATCAACAAAAGAGAATCCCAGTAGGCTAAGGCTTTAATAACCGCTGAGGAGATGAAATATAAACATGATGCTAACATATCTCCTGTTATAAAGATGTGTTCTGTTGTTAATGATGAAGTCATGTTGAGTTGTGCTGAGTTTGAGTCAGTGAATAGTTGTTTGCTGCCATCTTTTTCTTGTGTG